TGTGTATATATATAAATATGTTTATATATGTGTATATATGTATATCATTTCATTATATATGTATGTGTATAATTTTTAAAATTTTATTTTTATTTTTATTATTTTATTTTTATTTTGTATTAATTAATATTATTAAATATTAGGAATTGATGATGTGGCAGATGATTAGGATGCCATGTCAGCATTAAATAATATATTTTTTCGTTCAGGGTTTTATTTGCCAATTTTTAAAAGTATAGAGTTTTAATTGCCAATTTTTAAAAGTACAATGTTTTTTTGGATAAAAAAAAAGTAGAGGGTTTAAATTGCGACGAGAGAAAAGTATAGGGTTTTAAATGGAATTATCCCATTTAAAAATAACCATTTTATTTAAATTCAATAAATATTTACGTGCAAAATGACTTGGTTTGGTAAGAATGTCTCAAATGAAAAATTTATAAATATTTTTTTACTGTGTATAACATACATATATGTATATATATTTCAGGATTTATATTTTTGAATTTGTAAAATATGAAGTGGAAGGAAATAGAGTTTGGCAATAGGATCCGTTTTCAACGACAAACCCATCACATCATATGACGCTGTCTAATTATTTATTCCATTGACAAAGCCCCCAACAATTATATATATATTTTTAAAATTGATCTACATTCGCCGTTAAGATAAAACATAAATTAATTAATGGCAACCGATCAGACATAATTATCGTATCGTGAACTAGAAAATTCGTCTGATTAACTCATTAATTCTTATTTAAATTCTGGCACTGCAATATAATTTGGACTTCTCTTTGTCCTTTCTCATTGCAAAAGCTTAATTCGGCACTGCAATATACCATATTAATTGTTGTAATAACTTATGAACTTGTGTTATTAAAATTGAAGTTGCTTAATTTCTGTATTTCATGACATAGATATAATGTTGTCGAGGAAAAATAATATATGTAAATAATAGATATGCAATTATTCCATCATGCGTCTATACATAAAATTCAATATTAATTCGACCGCATCTTATATTGATGGGTCGATTTGTATATACAAACACTAGGTGGCGTTTTACACACCTTATATTTATTTGATGCATATCCATGGATCTGACGCGATGAATCAAATATCAAAATTAAAATATGAAATGAAAAATATTTGAAATGGAGCAACATGCCATGGGGAAAATTCCAAATAAATACATAAATTTGTTAAAAAATATTTAAAAAATACATGAATTTATTAACTTACAAAAAAATATATCAATTTGAATTTTTTTTCCCAAATTCCTATATTCGAAAATCCGACAACAATTTCTGGTTTGAAACGATGACATAACTGACCGGAAAATCTATGTCATCGCCGTATCAGCGCCACCATAAAAAATGTCACATAATCAAAAAATTTCAAATCATCAAAATAAATAAATAAATAAATAGATAGATAAAAATAAAATAAAATATATTTAAAATATAAATTTCAAAAAATATTTTCAAAAAAATAAAAAAAATTTAAAATTTTTATATTTTATACAATTAGATATGCATATATATGTACATAATTACATATATATAAAATATATACATATACAAAATATTTATATATGTGTATATATATATAAAATACATATATATATATATGCATATATATTAATATACAATTATATATATGTTAAATTTTGTATATATATATAATTACTTGTATATATATACATATGTATACAAAATATACAATTACATTTATATATATACGCTAAATCTATGTGTTAAATTTTATGTATATATATATAATTGTATAGATACATATTATATATATATATGCATATCTAATTATATAAAATATAAAATCTAAAATTTTTATTTTTATTTATTTTCAAATACTTTTTTGAAATTTATATTTTAAATATATTTTATTTTATTATATTTTTAATTATTTTTTTATTTTTTATTTTGATGATTTGATATTTTTGATGATTTGGTATTTTGATGATATGGTGATGATGACATAGATTTTTTGATCAGGCATGCATGTCATCGTTTCAAATCGAAAATTGTTGCCAAATTTTTGGAATGTAGGAATTTGGAAAAAAAATTCAAATTGATGTATTTTTTTTTGGAGTTAACAAATTAATGTATTTTTTAAATATCTTTTTAACAAATTTATGTATTTATTTGGAATTTTCCCTTTTCTTAAATAACTTAATTGTTTGGATGATCATGAGCTTTAATTTTACTTAAACGTTATTGAATAACCAAATCATTTAATTTCCCGAGGATATCAACACCATCCAAAATGTTTGCACGTGGAAATTTTTTTGTGTAATCTTTAGTCACATATATGGGGCGGTTTCATTGATATGTATGTGTACATGTGAATATACACACATGTATATACATTCACACACATATATATAGTAATATGCGTGTATGATGGCGCTTCCAAAAAGATATGATGGGAGTATAGTCTTACCTATAATTACTCGTTTAATTATACTCAACTAAACCGACTGAAATTTATTTATGAAAATATTTATAAAGTAACTAAAATGATTTAGTTAATTGTATTTATTACTGTATATATGAATATTAATACGTATACACATATACATATATATATATATATAGTCCTCGAAACTCGCTATATAATTTTCAAAAGAAATAAAGGATTGTGGAGGATATGAACTCACAAACAAATACAAACTTAGCTTCCAAATTATATGCAGAGAAGACAGTTGAACTCTACAATCCAAATTGGCAAGACATTTTCAAATAATAGATATAATTAATAAAATTGAATATAAATGCATAATATTTTAATCGAATAAAAGATTACTCAAACCGACATTTCAGCTCCTAGATACGAAGTTATGGCGGGGCCCACGGTTGCATAAAGCAAAGAAAACATTGCAAATAAAATAATTCGGGAAAAGAAAATTGATGGATTGTATGTAAGGGGTAGGTAATAGTCTATTTTAGATAATATATTAATATTAGCTCATCACAGCTTGCGTTTCTTTTCGAATTTATTCGTCCTATTTTTCCTTTAAAATATTTAGATTTTTTTTTCTCTTTTATTCCTGTAACTATTTATGTTTCATCATTACGAATGTAAAAAAAAACCCCATCAAATATATAGAATATTTAATTGCGTTGAAAATATAAATACCGAATACTTTGGTGTGTGTATATATAAATATGCTTGAATTAATATAAATAAAAAATTTTACATATTATTTTATTGAAGTTCAATTTAATTAAATAGAGATTAAATAAAAACATTTAGAAAATATATTTTCAATAAAAATATAAATCAAAGATAAAAATAAATAAATATAACTTGTGTGAGTTGAATTATTGGAACAAAAAATAATTAAAACCGGTTGAAGAAAAATAGAATCCCAACCCGAAATCAATCCCTAATTAGTCGTTGATTATTCTATAATTGCGATTATCGTAAATAACTGCGACATATTTTAATTAATTTGTTGCAGGGATGACGTCCAAATCAAACAGATTTTCAGCTAATATATTTACAATAATGCAAGTAATCACAAACACTTTGATTTACCAATCAATTTAGTATTGGACTTCCTTGCATTATTAAGCTCGAAAATAATAGTATGCATGTGATATGTACGGGATAATACATATATATATATACATGCAAACATACATGTGTGTATACACATTTTGTAACATGCATATCATAAAATTTTATATTATGGTTGTATATATACGGCTCGGATTACAAGACCAAAGCTTTTATTTTGTGGCAAATATGATTGGCCGTCTTTAATCAATATAAGCTAGATGATAACTAGATTTTCCTGATTTTAATTTGTTTTTGACACATTATTTTTTGAAAATTATAAAATTCATCAATTACATTCATCATTTTTTTTTTATCACAACAATCTATCATATTAAAATTAAGAAGCACATCAACGTATAAAAATGCTATAAAAACCAATACATTGGCATATAAAGTATGGTGCCATCATTATCTATACGTAATGATTCATGAAATGAGAAACACTCTAGGTTTTTTTAAAATTAATAAACAAAAAATAAAAAGTATAGACTTTCTTAAAACCCTAGAAAATCAAGATTTCGTAAAAGCAATATATGACAAGAGGGAAAGTGACACTTGATTAATAGATAGAGTTAGTAGTTGTATAAATTTTACTCCTCAACTCCATTATATACGAAATATTCTTCGGATTATAAATGTAAAATCGTGTTAATTAGATTTAACAGTAATAATTTTAGACAAGAAATAGTTTTTGTATAAGTTTTTTGGAGGAACTTTTTATTAATTTATGATTATTTTTAAGGTAATTGATTTAAGTTTTCACAGAAATGCATATTCACAGATTAGTACGAACTTTGCTTTTGGGTGGAGAGAATCAATACCTCTTATTTTTTATGTGCGACTCTCTCTCTCCCCCTTACTCCTCTCTCTCTCTCTCTCTCTCTCTCTCTCTCTCTCTCTCTCTCTCTGAGCCATAGAACAAAATTTTGTTCCTCTCTCTTCCAAAACACCATCCCTGCGATTAGTCTGAAATCAAGTTCTACAACCATAAAGGTCTGTGCTTTGCCTTAAAGCTCGATTTTTTTTGTTCGCCCGATCTGTTTTCTTCACAGATCCCTTCGGATTCTGTTCTCATCTCTCTGCTTCTTGCCATCCAGTTTCTGGGTTCTCTTCTTTTTTCTTCAGTACCCAAAAATCTCTCTGCAGATTCTTCTGGTTTTGATTTTTCTTCCGAAGCGGATAACTTGGACCCAGATAAAAAAGATGTGATTTTTGTCCTCGTATTTCTCTCAGATTTCATTTCTGGTACCCCTTTTTTCCGCAGCTGAGAGGTTCACATATATATATATATGTATGTATATATATACGTGACACACACACTTTTGTTTCTGCTTATGCGTGTATGATCGGTGACGGGTCGATTCTGGGTTCATCTGTTTTAATCTTCCTCGCTACTGTTTGCTACTGTTTCTGGATTTTTTTTTCTGGTTCAAGTTCGCGTGTTTTGTTGCAGATCTCTGACTTGTGTTGTGTAATGGTTGTTAAAAGATCTGGTGTTGCTCGAGTTGTGTTGGTCGATCGACCGTTCCTGATCTCCAATCTCCTTGTGGGGGAAACATACCCACATGAAATAATGATTGATCTTCTCTCACATCTGATCCGAAAATCTTGAAATTTCTGCTCCGAATCCCTTGTTCATCTTCCTCCTCCCACACATAAAATAATGTTTCTAGAATCTTCTGAGATTGTTTTGTGGATTATGCAGGCTGACCTCCATCTTGCTGCTGTGTTATGCTGGAGTCGAAGCAGGAGAGTAAGTCCAGAGATAGTTATTGTTTTGGCACTGTTACTATACGCAAGGAAGAAGAGCTTGTGACTGTTTCAAGAACAGCGCAAGAAGAGAGAAGGAGAAGAAGCTTTTCTTCAGATGTTATCCGTTGAGAACCCTCCACCTGAATCAGATCCTCCTCTTCCATGTCCACTGAAGAAGAAGAAGCTCGTGAATTCGCCTCAACTGGATCCATCTTCATCATCATCCTTATCATTGTCATCATCACTTGATCATCATCAAAGCCGTGTTCATCACCACAGCAGCAGCCATAGCCAGACCCCAAATTTCTGCATAAGGTAAAAGGAAACAATGGAAGGAGTAAAAATCAAATCTTTGGTCGGTTTCCTCATCTGTTGTGGCCTCAGACGAGAAGAGAGAGAGAGAATAGAGATTCCTTTATTTTTTCCAGTTTCTTGCTTCCGGGAAAATTTTCTCTTGACGGGGCACCAGATCCAGCTTTTTGTGTGGCTCATATCACTAACTACACTGCCTTGTCTCTATTGCCTTCCTTGAAGATGGTCTCCCTTTCCTCTCTTTTTCCTCCGTCGTTTTCTTTTCTTTTGCTCCTCTCTCTCTCTCTGGGTTTCCTTTTTTGGTCCTTCAATGGTTGTAAACACCTTGCACGGCTCCCATTCCCCGACCCATACGCTTCTGCTTATGAAAAAGCTTGAATATTTGGTCAAAGTTCCACATAGCTTCCTCAACCCGTCTCCCAGTTTAGTCAGATCTCCACTGTTTTTGTTCTTCCTTTTGATCTGGTTTTACTTCTGGGTTTCACGGATTTACCAGATGTGTTCATAAAGCAGAGTTTTCTGATATTAATCAGTATAAAAAAACACTGACCCTTTTGTTTTGTTTTTGTCTCTGGGTTTTGTTTTTGATGATTGTAGAGATTATGTGTTCGCTGTCCGAAGGAAGGATGTCGAGAAGAACTGGCCATTTTCCCCAGAAAATCTGCAGCTTTGTCTCAAACATGGGGTGAAACACCCTTTGCCTCCATTTCAATCCTTTGGTCCCGTTAAAGACCGATCTCTCAAGCCATGTACGGTTGAAGCCGCATCCGATGTCGCCAAAATGTCCGATGATGATCACCCAACGTCTCGGAAAGTACGGGTTCTCGCCGGAAAACTGAAACCATGCTCGGAAAATACGCTCCCCTCAACCGCGACAAGCGCCAACCAATCTGAAATAGAGTGTCTTGAATCTGATCAGCCCGTGTCAGATCAATCGACTGTGAAGCAGTATCCACCTTCGAGAAGCAAAACTGAGAACACGACAACCATCAGATCACCCACAGGCAAGAAGTGTCGGCTCGTGGTGAAGTTCGGTTCCTCGTCTGCAGAAGACGTTGCATCTGAACTGATGGCGTCTTCAAAGACTTGCCCTGTTTGCAAGAATTTCTCTTCCTCTTCGAACACAACCTTGAACGCTCACATCGACCAGTGCCTCGCATCAGGCTCGAAGCCCGTGTCAGACCCAAGTTCTAGACTGGCCGCCAGGCATAAAATCAAGCCGAGGAAGATCAGATTGATGACTGATATCTACACCACGGCGAAAGAATGCACGTTGGAAGAGCTGGACAGACGAAACGGCACGAGCTGGGCCGCCATGGGAGGTGAGAAGAGGTCTGAAGGCGTAAACGAAGAGGGCAAGGGCCGAAGGGCGTCAATGGATCTTTCCAGAGATAGTGCATGTGATGAGGCTAATGTTTATGTAGATGCTAACGGCACCAAAGTCAGGATCTTGTCGAAGCTAGACAGTGATGGAACAATGGCGAAAATGCCCGTGAAAGGAGGGAAATTGTTTTCAGTAAAAAAGAAAAGCCGCCATGGAAAGAGAAAGCACAAGTATCTCAAGCTTGTTCCTCAAAGCACGAAACTTTTGCCTCCCAAAGCTCATTCTTCGCAGGTACACAACCCTCTCCTAGTACCCGGTTTTAGCTTTCACCGCCACGATTCTTCTCAGAATCTTTCCTTTGTGCTTGGAGCAAGTTTTGATCTTTTTCCTTCTTTTACCAATTTCCTGATTTTGCTTTTATGATTCAACTTTACTGATGATTTGATCGAAGGCGTTATAATGTACCGAAAACGCCGAATCTGGGAAATCTTTGCTATGTTCATAGATAGATTTGTTTTATTAAACTGCTTCTGTACAGGTTCAGGTTGATCAAGAAGAAGAAGGATATTCTCAAGAGGAAACTCGGAAAGAGGAATTCGGGGCACCTAAGCGGATAAAGCTTCTTTCGCTTCCGGGAAGCTCAAGACAGTGGACGCCAATGAAATCGACCACTGTGACAAAGGAGCCAAGCAAGAGAGGTTGCAGAAAGTACCCGTCTTCTGGGAACGATGAACCGTGTCTTCGTCAAGATTCTTTCGCGCGGAGAAGCAAAATCGAGAAGGTCATGAAACCTCTTCTGCCCATGAGGCGAAATACCGATAATTCAAGAAACGTCCGTTCTTCTTTGTATCGGACTCCTACATCGAGGTCCTCTGAGAATGGTAGAAACTTCGTCTCGTCTTTAGGCAGAAGGAGGATCTGTTCTTCAGCCGGATTGGAAAAATCTACGAAGGGATCTCCGGGAGTTGGGTCAAGAACATTGGACGTACCATCGCCGGGTAAGAAAGTACCTATCAGGGGCCAATCTGCATCTGAAAATAAGCTTTCTGCAGGTAAAACACGTTTTAGCTTCAAGAATATGGGGTCTTGGGTTTTGGATGAGGGAGATGATGAAGAATTTGTTGCCCGAGAACGATCTGCTAACTGGGAAAACGTGCAAGATGGGTCTGAGAATCGTTACCAGATGAGTGATTCATCTTTTGGAACCTCTGAAGAACGGTTAGGATCCGAGAACTTTCGTTGCGGTAATGGGGAAATGGCTGATTCTTCTCCACGAGAACTTGACCCTTTTGATGATGAAACAAGTACTTCGGTTGACAGTGATAGCGAAAGTGACAAAAACGACGATGTGGATGATGTCCTAAAAGATCTTGATTGCCGGGAAATTACTCAAGAAAGAGCTGTTACTAGCCTGAGTCAGTTTCTTGAACCAGATTTCATCAGGAGGAGTCACTCCGAAACACTGTTTGTCTCATCGGATGCTTCTTCTGATGGCCAAGCCCTTCTGCATTCATCCGAGCCAGATTTTCTCGGCGGACAAGAAGGATATTCTGCTCGTGATGATGATTCCAGGAACATGATACATGACCATGCTACATGTATGGATATGGATATGGATATGGATAAAGGAAGCTCTTTTCCAGACGTTGATCCTATTCCGATCCCGGGACCTCCGGGTTCATTCTTGCCAAGTCCCCGAGACATGATGATGGCTTCTGAAGATTTTCCTGGACACTCATCATTGACCACAAGTCCAGTTAGATCCTCCGAGGATATCCGAGATTTCATCGACAGAGTATCATCCGATTCGCCGCTTTCTATGGCATCAACTGTGTCGAACTCTCGACCCGATCACATGAAGTACTTTGAGCAGTTCTCGTCAGCTGGGATGGCGCTAGGGCAAGAGAAGAAGGACCTGAATTCTGCAGTGTCGTCTTTACGGTCCAGCGTGGAGATCGAGAGAAAGCCCGAGTCGGAAAACCTCAACTTCGATGGATTCGCCATTGAAAAGAGACAGTTTGAACTCGGTAGCCATGATCAACCGTGCTGTTGCCAGAGAAGGGAGAGATCTTTACCTCCTCAAGGATTCATCTCTCTGAACTTTCAAGAATCTCAGCTTCTGAAGCGAAGAACAATGGCTTCTTCTGCGGAAGATAGACAAATGGGTGTTCTTCTAGACATGAATCCAAGTAGCTCGGATCACCCGAGATTCGAATCGACTGCTCCTCCAAGAAATCCATTCACAGCCCTTGATTCGGGACCTGGGCACACACCAGATCTTCTGCCTATGAGGAGGCCATTGTCTGGTACTGATGGCACGATCACAAGCCCATATGGTTCTAATCCAGTTTTGAGGCTAATGGGCAAGAACTTAATGGTGATCAACACAGACGAAAAACCTTCCACCAGCCATGGCTTCAGCACTCAGGTGGCTCAGAATCAAGCTCAGGCCCATGCAGGAACTTTCCACCAGAGCCATTACTCAGTTCCACTCTCTCTCTTCAACCCACAAGACTCTTCCTCTTCTGCTCATTCTCAAGCTCTGAACCCACAGGTCTCCGACCGTTTCAGCCCCATCAAGCTGACCTGCAATCCAGAAGATCCCCGAAAGATTCACCTAAGTTCTTCACTGTACTTCTCGTAAAACTCGAAAGAGGAAGAAAGAGCTTTTGCAGGAGCTGGAATGATCTTTCAGTGCTTGGGATTTAGGCAAGCGAATATGTAGTTTGTTTTTCTCTTGCAGAGTCCACTTTGATGAACTGAAACTCCCCCAGAAGAATAAGGAAGATACTTTAGTTGACACTGTAACAAGAGAGGGCTTAAAGGCCCTGGAACTTGAAAAAAAAAAAGACAAGACAAGAAAAAAAAGATCATCAGCAGGTGTTCTTCTTTCAGAAGATGTTTTTTTTTTGTACTCTCTCTGAATATAAATGTGTTATATATATAAAATGTCTGAATATATGTGTATATCTCGACACTCTCTTAATTAATCTGCTTTTTATTATCTTCTGGAATCACCATCACGGTTTACATGTAAAGAATGCATCAAGAGATATATAGTCGTGTATATGTATGTATCGAGCGTTACATGTACGTGTCCGTACGTATGATGTCAAATTCTTAGGCACCCAATCACGAAAGCAATCTTTATAAGCGCGTGAGTCATGTGCCTAGTACTACATGTTGCTTGATGGCAGCATTTCTCGATCTCCGTGTGGAAATGTATTCATAAACACGTGTCATGTTATGTTTGTGTGTATGTGTGTGTGTGCAGTGTACCGATGTATGTATGCATGTGTATCTGAGTGTGTACTGATGCATGCATGTGCATGTGAATCTGTATATGCGTATGCATGTACGTATCTGTATGAATATATATATATATGCATGTCTCATGCGTATTGTGTACTTATTCAGGCCCATGTAGTTCCACTTACAATAAGACATTCAAAATGGTTATATATTAAAGTAAAATTATAGAAAATTTTAGTCATGAAGTATAAAGAAATCGAAATCAAATAAAAAAATTTAATATAACGTAAACTTTCTATATTAGCTACAATTATTCTCTCACATATTGAGCTTAGATTCAACTATTTTCAAATCCGAGACCATTGGATAAATCTGATATATAAGTACTATAAGAAATTATAAAGCTTCCATGACTATGATCCGTTGATTTAATTACAATACATTTGGAGGATGCATAATACATAATTACATATATATATATTGCTATAATATGTTCAAGTGAGTACGTTGTCATCAATCATAAGCGTTTATAAACGATATAGTGACCCGTAAAAAAAAGAAATTATTCTCTGTAAAAATATATGTAATACCTTATCTTCAACAAGTTTTCAAGAACCGGTCGGAGGCTGACGACGACGACGTTGGGGAGTTGAAGTGTTTCGCACCACACCGAATTACCGGTGCTTCAACCAATGAAAACGGTCCACGTCATTCTCACCGTCTCTCCCATAAAATCGGTCCGCTTAGAAGCTTGGGTCCAATTATGAGAGTACGCTTTCAATTTAACGTGGTGTCCACCTCTCTGATAATGATGACGTGGCATTTTGTCTCGACTCTGCAAGTTATAATGAATTTTCACATTTTGGTCAAACAAGTTGACCAATCCCGAAAAAGATCTCGAGACTTACAAAGGCGGCCATTTTGCCATCGGCGACGGCGGAGATGAATCTATCCGCCGGAGATATCTTCTCTCTGTCTCTCCAGAACCTTATCACCGCCGTCTCCAGCCACCGTCCCTGGCCGGAGTTCCTCTCATCGCTCTCCTCCGCCGCATCTCGCGCCAAAACCAACTTCCGCCGTTTCCGCGTCAACTACGCTCTCCTCACCGCCGCGTCTATCGCCGTCTTCATGATCGGAGATCCAACAGCTCTCGTGGTCTTCTCCGCCGTGGCCGCCGCTTGGCTCCTCCTCTACTCCTGTCGGGATCTCCCGCTTGTCCTTCACGGTCGACACGTCAGCGACCGTGTGATCATCGTGAGCCTTACATTCGTCTCGCTCTGGGCGTTGCTGTGGTTCACGCACTCCCTAGGGAGCGTGGCTCTCGGCGTCGGGGCAGGCGTAGTGCTCTGTGGGGTCCACGCCGTTGTGCGGAACCCCGACGACCTCTTCGCCGACGAACAGGAAGCTGTTTCTTCAGGTTTTCTTCATTGGAGCTAGGAGGTGAGAGAAGTCAATATATATATATATATATATTGGTGATATGGCCAGTGAATATAATATTTTATTATGCCCCTCTTTTCTGTCATTTTGATGAAGATTTCTGGTTGGGTTCAAGAATTTCTATGATCATTTCCCAAAACAACAATTTCTTGTTACAAATGTTAAATATCAAAATCATACAAAAAAAATGTTAATTATCAAAATGTTATTATTTATTATAATCATACTTGTTTAAAGTGCGTGTTAAATAAGATGACCTCCTCACATTATATTAGGGATGTCAAAACGAGCCGAGCTCGCGAGCCGGCTCGAGGTTGGCTCCTTTTTTACCGAGCCGAGCCAAGAATATCTGAACCCAAATAAAATGGGTTGAGTGAGCCACCTGCCCGGGAGCCGAGCCCAAACGAGCTAGCTCGGCTGGCTCGCGAGCTGGCTCGGGAGCTGGAGTAAAAAACAAATTTACGTTGAAATTTGAAAGTGATGATATTGTTGGTATGATATTTTGATTTGGAGATAATTTTTTATGTATAGATTCGGATCTGAAGATGATTTTTTGTACATGGATTAAGATCTAATTGTATATGGATGGATTAAGATCTGAAAATGGTTTTTTGTACATGGATGGATTATGATTTTATCTATTTGAAAATGATTTTTTGTATATGGATTGTGATTGTGAATATAAGTATGATTTGGATGTATTGGTATGTTCTTTTTATGTTGATATATCATTTGGATATGATTTTATATAATTTGATATGATGTTTTTTAGGTATTTAGAAAAATATGAGCCGGCTCGGGAGCCGGCTCGCGAGCTAAGCGACTTGGGCTGAGCCAGAAATTTTCTGGCCCAAATAAAAATGGGCTTAACGAGCTGGGCTGAAAATGAGCTGGCTCGAAACGAGCTGGTCCGAGCTGGTCCGAGCCGGCTCGTTTGACATCCCTACATTATATACCTCCCCCAACGAGATGGGCCACCAGAGCCCAACTCATGGCCCATTATAAAAATATCAGTGGTAGTGGGACCCACGTGCACATTTTTTTTTGGTCTCCTAATAACTTTACTGCGTGTAACATGATGCATTGTCAGAGAAAGAAGTCCCATATGTAATAATTAATTATTCGCGATGTCGTTGGCGGATTTCTCCGTCGCATGACGATTGAGCTCCAAACTCTCAGGTTGTCTAGGGTTTCGGGTCGTGCTTCTGTGACTCATCAATGGGTGGTCCCTTCTCTTAGGTACGCCTTCTCCTTTGATCGATTGGATTCGATGCGTTTCTTCTTTTCTTGGAATTCGTGTCACTTGGTGCTGTTGGAGTTAACCATGTTCTGCTCATGTGTTTATTTTGCTGCCGTTTAGTTTTTGAAGTTATTATTTTCGATAGTTTTATTTTAGGTTGAATAAGTCTGAGAAGACCTAGTATTGCGCTTGACCCATTAAAATCGATGCAGATTTTTGAGTTTGTTTTGATATTTTAATGAGTTATAAATAAGAGATGTAAAGCTCAGACTTGAGCATGGAGAAAAATACAAAAACGTCATTTCTCATTATTCTCTCTCCTTGATTAATGTCTCTCTTTCAATGGTTATTTTCTCACGAATGTCCTTATTTGTGAAACTCCAAAATCCTTGTTAAAGTTTCCATTATTAAATTCTGACAAAGTGGTATCAGAGCTTTGGTTGGTAGGAAGAATGTCTCAGTCTTATTCGAGCGCCGTTCGGAGTGGAGGAAACGGCGGTAATGGTGGTCAGAGTACGACGGAAGTGAAACCGTCGGTAAAAGAGGGAAGTGTCACCCTCCAGTATCCGATGCTGTCAAAAACAAATTACGGCATGTGAGCGATGAAGATGAAGATCAATATGAAAGCCCAAGGAGTATGGGAAGCCGTGGAGTCGGAAGGACCGATCGAGCCGCGGCTCGACATGTTAGCCGTGGCAGCGATAGGCCAAGGCATACCCGAGGAGACTTTGTTCGAGATGGGAGAGAAAGACTCGACAAGAGAGCTTTGGGAGGCCATCAAAACGATGCACCTAGGAGATGCTCGGATTAAGAAGGTGCGAGCACAATCCCTACGGAGAGAACTCGAAGGGATTAGAATGAAGCAAAACGAATCAGTAGATGAATTCACTGGTCGTTTATCTACTGTCGTAAGCCAATTGAAGGCTTTGGGAGAAAAGATAGAGCAAGTTCAAGTGGTTGAAAAGATACTCAGATCGGTGTCAAAGAAGTTCCTCCAATATGCTTCGGCGATAGAACAGTTCGGAGATTTATCGAAGATGAGCGTCGAAGAAGTGAAGGGATCGCTCAAGGCACATGAAGTACGCTTAAAGGAATTCGAATCGAGCGATGACGAACAGGTATTGTTCGCACGTGGTGAATGGAAAGGTCACGGTCGCGGTCGCGGACAATGGCGTGGTAGAGGTCGTGGTCATTCAGGAGGTGAGAGAAGTCATCAAAAATTCGACATAAGTAAGGTGCAATGTTATAATTGTGGTGAGTATGGGCATTTCAAGTCGAACTGCGAGAAGGATGAAGCACATTTGGTGGAAGTCGAGGATGAACCACTTCTATTGTGATGGGAGAACATGTTTAAGGAGGTGATTGTTGGAGTTAACCATGTTCTGCTCATGTGTTTATTTTGCTGCCGTTTAGTTTTTGAAGTTATTATTTTCGATAGTTTTATTTTAGGTTGAATAAGTCTGAGAAGACCTAGTATTGCGCTTGACCCATTAAAATCGATGCAGATTTTTGAGTTTGTTTTGATATTTTAATGAGTTATAAATAAGAGATGTAAAGCTCAGACTTGAGCATGGAGAAAAATACAAAAACGTCATTTCTCATTATTCTCTCTCCTTGATTAATGTCTCTCTTTCAATGGTTATTTTCTCACGAATGTCCTTATTTGTGAAACTCCAAAATCCTTGTTAAAGTTTCCATTATTAAATTCTGACAGGTGCATGAATTGATCGACTTCGTTGGAATTTTCAAAATTTTTTTGTTAACTTGGAATTTTCAAATTTGGCGAATCATTTGATGTTTTTGATTCGTCGATGAGGTTAGGATCGGTGTTTGCAATCCCCCGTCATCTTCTCTTCTGTTGGATGAAATGAGCTGAATTTTGTGCTTGTGCGTGGGCCGTGGCTCCAAGAATTTCCATTTTTTCTGATTTCTTTCTGTTTCTCTGGGATGCGATTCTGCTGATTAGGGTTCTTGCTCGACTATTCAAAGGTTATGGGTAAAGAGTGTTGGAAATATAAAATTGACCCATGGAATTTTGGGTTTTGGACTTCATATTATTTTGAACTCATTGATGGATATGAGCTAATTAAGTTTGAATGTCCATTGGTATTCATGGTAATCCATCTCTTTCCCCTATAAATAGAGGATCTTGATTCATATTTTTCATCCATCAGAAAAATTATCAAAGTAAGGGTGAAAGGAGAGAAAAACCGATTTACCGAATTATTCTTCAAAGTCATTCCGCTGCAAAATGGATTCAGGTATAATTCTTATCCGATATGTATATTAATTTCGAATTGTGTGAGTTATGCAAAAACCGTATCCAGTTTTTGGTGAGTTTTCATAAAGTTATCGAAAACCATCAATATAAAGATTTTTACATTTGGTATCAGAGCATGTGTTTTGTTTTATCATAATTCATCGATTATAGTTTCAAAATTTTAATATGTGTAATATATTGATACATTTTTTATGTGTCATCAAAGATTATAGTAATATAAATTAAAGTGGGTATATATATATATATGAATTAGTATATATGAATATTCATATTTGATATATAATAATAGAAATATATAGATATATATATATATATATCTTGAATATATGAGTACAAAAACGTACGTGTATGAAAAGTTAACATAAAGTTATAAAATATCATGCAAATATTAACTATATTAAAGATCATTTTAATTATATCAAATGCGAGTTCTAAAATTGAACAATAAAGATGGTTTCAAATAAATTAATAAATTTATAGTGAAATATTAATATTGATAACTTCTATGTTTTATAATACATATCAATATGTATTATTATTATTATTGTATCTTCATATAAGTATATATATTATGCATTAATATACCATATAGTAATTTGTATGGATAATAGTTTATATACTTTATGAAATTAACTATGTGGATACATGTTATATGGAGGTTAAAAATATTTTTATTTGTTTTATATTTTAAACTTGTTAGTCACCAAAGTGACTTAGTTTAAATTAAAATAAATATTCAAACCAAATATGCATGTTTTAATTGTTCATAATAAAAGGATGCTAATGTATGACATAAAATAAATAATTGAACAATTATAATTATTTATCATATTGCTATTAGATCATCCAAAGATGGATCAATGCATATGATTAATAATATTATAGGGACATAATTTTGGTTAATAAGTATGTATATCCAAAGATTGCATTCTTATTTAACTGGTAATATTATGATGTCCATTAAAGCATATTTTGCATCAATGATTGTATATATGTATTGAAATATTGCCCAAAGGTAAATTTTGGTACATATTATTGTTACTTTTGAAATACTAATGGATAAATATTTATAAAATTTCAGCTTCACTTAACCTTATGGCTTCTGGCAATGGAATTGTTAAGTTCAACGGGTTTAACTATGCAGACTGGTCTGAACAGATCCAATTTTATTTGGGTTTCAATGATATGAATTATGCATTGTTGAATGAAAAGCCAACAGCCATAACAGATGAAAGCTCAGAAAATGCCAGGATTAACTTCGAATACTGGGGGCGATCAAATAGGCTGTGTTTGAACTTGATGAGGATCACTATAGCAGAAAGTGTTAAGCTATCGATGCCTAAAACTGAAAGTGCAAAGGAATTTCTGCAAAAGATTAAAGAGTATTCTCAGTCGGATCTGGCTGACAAGTCGATTGTAGGAAGTCTCATGAGTGAGCTAACTACGAAAAAGTTTGACTGGTCTCAGCCTATCCATGATCATGTGACTAACATGTCTAATATGGCGGCAAAGTTGAAAGCTATGGGAATGGATGTTAATGAGACATTTCTGGTCCAGTTCATCATTAACTCTCTCCCTGTTGAGTTTGGCCAGTTCCAGGTGAATTATAACACCATCAAGGAAAAATGGAACTTTCAGGAGTTGAAGGCCATGCTCATACAGGAGGAAGGGAGATTAAAGAAGGTGAAAGAACATTCTGTCCATCTTACAGTTCAAACCAATGCCGGCAGCAATAAAAGAAAACCAGGAAAGAATGACAAAAGGAAGGATAAGGCTCCAACAAAAGATAATGTGAGCCGAGTCCGGAAAGAAGTCAAGTGTTTTTTCTGTAAAAAGACTGGACACATTAAGAAAGATTGTCAGAAAAGGAAGGAATGGTTCGAAAGTAAAGGTAAACATAATATTTTAGTTTTAGAATTAATTCACACTGATATTTGTGGTCCTTTTGATATTTCCACGTGGGGTGGAGAAAGGTACTTTATTACTTTTATCGATGATTACTCACGTTATGGTTATACTTATCTTCTGCATGATAAATCTCAATCTGTGAACATACTTGAAGTGTTCATCAATGAGGTTGAGAGGCAGTTAGAGAAAAAGGTTAAAGTTGTGAGATCTGATAGAGGTGGAGAGTATTATGGAAAATATAATGAGACTGGACAGTGTCCAGGTCCATTTGCGAAATTCCTCGAAAGTAAGGGTATTTGTGCACAATACACAATGCCCGGTACACCGCAACAAAATGGTGTAGCAGAAAGGCGGAATCGTACATTAATGAATATGGTTAGGAGCATGATAAGTAATAGCTCTTTACCTCTCTCATTGTGGATGTATGCATTAAAAACATCAACTTATCTGCTTAATCGTGTTCCTAGCAAAGCAATCCCTAAAACACCTTATGAATTGTGGACAGGAAGGAAACCGAGTTTAAGGCACCTGCATGTTTGGGGTTGCCAAGCAGAAATAAGAATATACAATCCACATGAAAAGAAGCTTGATCCTAGGACAATCAGTGGATATCTTCTGCATGATAAATCTCAATCTGTGAACATACTTGAAGTGTTCATCAATGAGGTTGAGAGGCAGTTAGAGAAAAAGGTTAAAGTTGTGAGATCTGATAGAGGTGGAGAGTATTATGGAAAATATAATGAGACTGGACAGTGTCCAGGTCCATTTGCGAAATTCCTCGAAAGTAAGGGTATTTGTGCACAATACACAATGCCCGGTACACCACAACAAAATGGTGTAGCAGAAAGGCGGAATCGTACATTAATGAATATGGTTAGGAGCATGATAAGTAATAGCTCTTTACCTCTCTCATTGTGGATGTATGCATTAAAAACATCAACTTATCTGCTTAATCGTGTTCCTAGCAAAGCAATCCCTAAAACACCTTATGAACTGTGGACAGGAAGGAAACCGAGTTTAAGGCACCTGCATGTTTGGGGTTGCCAAGCAGAAATAAGAATATACAATCCACATGAAAAGAAGCTTGATCCTAGGACAATCAGTAACTGCCTCTCAACCTCATTGATGAACACTTCAAGTATGTTCACAGATTGAGATTTATCATGCAGAAGATAAGTATAACCATAACGTGAGTAATCATCGATAAAAGTAATAAAGTACCTTTCTCCACCCCACGTGGAAAAAAGTTGGCATAGAAGAGATTCGGGATAACGTTTTCACGCCGGATATCCCTTCTGTTGTTCTTGTACCGAAATTCGCATCAACGTCTCGTGATATTCAAGTACAACAACAGCATATCGAAAACCCACATAATGAAAACATTATTAATGAACAGGTCACGGTACCAGAGGAGATTAATGAACCACCGATCATCTTGAGACGATCTGAAAGGGAAAGGAGATCTGCAATCTCAGATGATTATGTGGTTTATTCTCTAGAACATGAATGTGACTTAAGCATTGATAATGATCCGTCTACATTTCAACAAGCCATGAATAGTTGTAATTCTGGAAAATGGTTTGATGCCATGAAAGAAGAATTAAAATCCATGAACGATAATAATGTCTGGGACTTAGTAGATTTACCGGAAGGTGCAAAGAAAGTCGGCTGTAAATGGGTCTTTAAGACCAAGCTTGACTCACGTGGTAATATCGAAAGGTATAAAGCCCGACTTGTTGCCAAAGGTTATACCCAAAAGGAAGGCACAGACTATAAAAAGACTTTTCTCCGGTTTCTAAGAAAGACTCTTTGAGAATTATATTGGCTTTAGTTGCTCATTATGATTTAGAGCTTCATCAAATGGATGTTAAAACCGCTTTTTTGAATGGTGATCTAGAGGAACAAGTATATATGGATCAGCCTGAAGGATTTATACCCACAGGAAAAGAAAATTTAGTGTGTAAGCTGAGAAAATCAATTTATGGACTAAAACAAGCTTCCCGACAATGGTATCTTAAATTTAATAATACCATTACATCTTATGGTTTCGTAGAAAATATCGTTGATCGATGTATCTACATGAAGGTTAGTGGAAGTAAGTATGCGATTTTAGTCTTATACGTTGATGATATTTTACTTGCTGCAAATGACATGAGAATTTTACATGATGTAAAAATGTTTCTTTCTAAGAATTTTGATATGAAAGATATGGGCGAGGCATCCTATGTGATAGGAATAGAAATATTCCGAAATAGATCACAAGGATTGTTAGGATTGTCTCAGAAAGGTTATATCAACAAAATATTAGAAAGATTCAGAATAGACAAATGTTCTGCAGGAAAGGTTCCAATTTAGAAAGGAGACAAGTTCAGTAATTTACAATGTCCGAAAAATGAATTAGAACGAAAGGAAATGGAAAATATTCCTTATGCATCAGTGGTTGGGAGTTTAATGTATGCTCAAACGTGTACTCGACCAGATATCAGCTTTGCTGTTGGAATGTTAGGTCGGTACCAGAGTAATCCTGGAATGAATCACTGGAAAGCTGCAAAGAAAGTTCTAAGGTACTTGCAAGGCACCAAAGATTATACGCTCACATACAGAAGATCAAATCATCTGGAAGTCATTGGTTATTCAGATTCAGATTATGCTGGATGTGTTGATACCAGAAAATCGACTTTTGGATATTTGTTTCTACTTGCCGGAGGAGCAGTATCATGGAGGAGTGGAAAGCAGTCTGTCATTGCTGCTTCCACCATGGAAGCTGAGTTTGTAGCATGTTTTGAAGCTACCGTTCACAGTTTATGGATGCGGAACTTTATCTCAGGGCTTAGGATTGTCGACACTATAGCTAGGCCGCTGAGAATTTACTGTGATAATTCCGCAGCTATCTTCTTCTCGAAAAATGATAAGTACTCGAAAGGTGCTAAGCATATGGAGATAAAATACTTATCTGTCAAAGAAGAAGTGCAGAAACAAAGAGTATCATTTGAGCATATCAGTACTGATTTTATGATAGCGGATCCATTAACTAAGGGACTGCCGCCTAAGACTTTTAATGCTCATGTTGATCGTATGGGCATTATAGATAAGTCGTTGTTGTAATTTAAATAATTGCTCATTATATATGATATCTTGAATTCAATAAAGTCTTGTTTCTGTTATTGAAAGTCATATTATCATTAAATTATTTGTGTACATATGAAGTTGATAAAGATAATATGCATTATTGTTCTATAGTTACTTCTGGCCATAAAAGAGGTTTTGGATGACAAACGTTTGTGATACTTGGAAGGAATCATATTCAAATAAAATGATGTGTGACCGCCAAGATTCAATTGTTTGTTGTTCAAATAAAAGTTATCGGTGATAGATGAATACAATATAAAATTACGCGTTTTAAAGATTGTAGATCATCAAATCATCACATGGGCCAAGTGGGAGAATGTTGGAAATATAAAATTGACCCATGGAATTTTGGGTTTTGGACTTCATATTATTTTGAACTCATTGATGGATATGAGCTAATTAAGTTTGAATGTCCATTGGTATTCATGGTAATCCATCTCTTCTTACCCTATAAATATAGGATCTTGATTCACATTTTTCATCCATCAGAAAAATTATCAAAGTAAGGGTGAAAGGAGAGAAAAAACGATTTACCGAATTATTCTTCAAAGTCATTCCGCTGCAAAATGGATTCAGGTATAATTCTTATCCGATATGTATATTAATTTCGAATTGTGTGAGTTATGCAAAAACCGTATCCAGTTTTTGGTGAGTTTTGATAAAGTTATCGAAAACCATCAATATAAAGATTTTTACAAAGAGTCACCGAAAAATGAGGCTGTAAACATGTTCTCAGCTGAAAATGGGAGTGAGAATGGATTATCACCTGATGGTGATCATGAAGAGGCTGTTGGATCCCCTCAAGAAGGGAATATAGGTGGTGTGAGGGTTGAATCTCCGGGTGCATTGTCACCATGTACGAGAAAAAGACACGGGTTGAAGAAATGGCGACGAATCAAGAGAGATAGTCTCGTGAAAGATGGGGCGGGTACTGTTGATAGTAGTAACGTTCTGAAACGCGGATCGATGGGTCATGTTAATCCTCCTTCTAAACCTGCAGACTTATCTTCGATTGAAACCAGACGGAGCAGTGAAGGCTCTGTTGGATCTGTAAATATGGTGAACCATCCAGGGGTAGTGAACGTTTTTTGTCCCGTTCCAGGATCTGCATCTAACATAGCCCCAGTGAGGATCATAATAGTAAGGTCGAATGTGCTAAGAATGTGGGAGGCAAGATTATTTCGAGTAGCTTATCTCAAAGAGTTCAACAAGTGAAAAACCAGATCGATACCATTAAGAAGGCTAGAAGGGAGAGGGTAGAAGCCGAGAAGGAAAATCTTTCTTCATGCTTGGATTCAGACTTGAGAAGCAGTGATTTTGTATCTTCTAGTGATGCATTTTCTGTTGCTAACTTGGGAAAGCGGAGTGAGAGGTTGTTGAATCGCAGTGGCGAATTTAGCAAGGAGGGCCAGAAATTCGGTGTGAAAGTTCAAAATGGTCACAGAAACAAAAACGAAGAAAGAAAAGAAGCTGAAAAAGAAGACGGTTAGAAATACTGTCTGTTCCGGTTAGAGAATGATTTGCTCATGGATTCAATCAGGAGTCTTGCAGCTGTTCAGGAAGCCCTCAAGAAAGGTTCGCATACTAACAGCCCTTTACTTATACCTTCTGTTTTGTAACATTTCGATAATGTTCTTTTTGTTTTGCAATTGTCTATTATAGTGACCGTAGATGTTTTTTGAAGGACCAATCCAGTTCATATCCCCATCTAGTGGGGTACTGGGGGAGGGAATATACTAGGCCACCTTACCTCTACATTTTAATGTAGAGAGATGGATTCGAACCCGCGACCTCAGACCCCACGGTAAACAGATTCGTACACGTTTTTTAATCAAATCAAATTGATGGCCGTAGAGGCAAATTGTTAACATGAATTTATTAGATCTCATGTATTAGGCTGTCAGTGTTTGTGTTTTGTTGGTTTTTCTCGGAACTAACTACACAATTCAACATGTATGCAGAAGTTCAGAACTTCCGGGAGATTGGGAGAGAATCTACACCGCTTTATTGCAACGTATTTGAACTGGGGTCATCTGAGGAACCGGCAAACAATGGCTCAGCAACTTCAGAATCAGAGGTACTGCTCGAGGCCAAGGAGGCAAAGATCCGGGCATTAGAAAACTCAAAGATCGAAAATGAACTCGAGGGCATTTTCCAGAGAGAGATGGAAGCTGAAATCGAGCATCTGTTGATGACAAGGTCACTGGAAACAGCAAGAACTCCGAAGAAAATGAAAGAAGACTCGGAACAGAAGCATGGAAACATGTCAAAAGGGAAAGCATGGAAGTCTGGTATTTGTTTCTTGATCCAGTTGCTTTTGCTCGTCTGCATGATTAGGTGTTTCTTCTTGCAGTTCTTGCCCGATTCTCAAATCGTTATACCAACTTTAAAAAAAAATTGCGTAGATTCTTTTCATTTTGTCAACCTTTTTTTTCACGATACTGTAACCCATTGGGCCCGTGTCAAGTTTAAGCCCATTGGGTCCATGTCAAATTTAAGCCCATTGACCAATGTGAAGTTTAAGCCCATTGGGTCCATGTCAAATGCAAACCTTCCAAGGGAATGAGTGGTTCTTCTCAGGCTTTTTTCTTCCATCTAAATTAATTTTACGTGATTTATTACCTAAAACCATGTATGACAAAATCAGTGTGTGGTTATAAGGAATTTGAGTCATTCTTGAACATAAATTATTATTACCACTGGAAAAAAGTAAAATAAAATCCCTAAAATCTGTTTGACAGGGGAGGAAGGAAAATCTCTTAATAGGCATTAATTAAATTAAATTAAATTAATTCAGATTTCTCTCTCTCTCTCTCTCTCTCTCTCTGTCTGTAAATAAATAAATTAATAAAAGGGATAATCTTAAATACGGTTGTCTCTTACCTTTACCAAAGAAACCCGAAGAAAAGGATGTTGTCGACCGATAATTCACCGCACCCTCAAATTCACGTAGAGGCCGTTAATGGTTATCCCTCGGACCACAGCAACAGGTCCTCTGATCCCTCTGGTTCTGTCAAGTACGAGGATCTTGTCCGCGACTCCGATCTTTTCTGGGAAACCCTCCGGTCTCTCCTCCGATTCTCCGGCAGAACTTTGAAGTGAGTTCTTCTTCTTCTTCCCGTATTCGTCTTCTCTTTTTCTTTGCGGTTTTTGGTCTCGTGGGATCATTTATTTTGGTTAAGATTGTCGAGGAAATCCCTAAGTTTGCTTCGTTTTGAATGCGGTGGATTTAGGCTGTTTGTTAAATTTGATCGATAAATGCACATACCTCCGATTGTGCTCCTACGGTTCTACTTGGCGATGAGCATGGCGTTCTCTGTACCAGATGGTAGATTTGCGGTATGACGAATTGCTGTTTTTGGTGAGAAAGGGAAACAGAAAACATTAGAATTTGGCCTTGGGAATGAAAGAAACTCCAATTAGGGTTTAATGGAATCGGCACTCACTGCTCAGGCAGTCATTGCATGAATGTACAAATTATATTTCCCTTCACGTATGCATTTTGGCAATCATTAGTCCTAACTCGTGAAGGCTTTATAACAGTGGTGTTCCAGGTAGATGGTCGGGCCTATTGAATTTAATGTTTCTTGTTCTTTTCCTGTTATAAACATAATTCCTAGAATCTATCTGTTAGGCGGTGATATAAAACTGGATTTGGTAATTACCGTTCTCAATGTTATGGTGCATGAACTGGGCAAGTGATTATGCCCGTGTGTTCTTTTTGGCTTTTTCTGAGATCTTGTCTAACATGCATTTCTGTGGGTGTGGGGAAATATCTTATGTTTCCTCTTCTTTTGCCCATTTACGACGTTGGAGAAGAATTTGCTTCCCGTTCGTTCCCTTTCTTTCACTTGATCTGTTTTCCGATATTTTTCTGATAATTGAATTCGCTATCTCCATGTTTGGATTCCTGGGCTGAAACAGTTTTATTGTTTTCCTTTTTACATGATTCGTGAAGAGTTCCTACTGTGGGTGGGAATGATCTGGATCTTCATCGGCTTTTCATCGAGGTCACATCTCGAGGGGGCATTGAAAGGGTAAGAGGACTTCATGGTGCCACTAGTTATATCATATGTGACAGGTAGCTTTTGTTTTACTGAATGTGGAATTCTGGTATATTTTTTCTAACTGCAGGTGATCAAGGATCGGAAATGGAAAGAAGTGATTGGAGCATTCAATTTCCCGACAACAATAACAAGCGCATCTTTTGTCTTAAGGAAGTATTATCTGAAGCTGCTTTATCAATTGGAGCAGATGTATTACCTCCTAAAGCCGGTTTCTTCAATCTCATCAACAGGTATGTTCAGATTCAGACATGATAAAAGCCTACCCTTCCCTTTTTTCCTCTACATGGTATCCTGAGATGGAATGCAATCTTTTGCCTTTCCAGATGAAGCAATGAGGAGTCTTGTCAATGTATCCCCAAACACCGAGGAAGGTACTGAAATAAACGATTTTTTCCCCTTCATGTCAACTGTTCATGCATCTGCAGCGTCCTCATGGCCGTTCTTATTAGCTTATCTTGAATGTTCTTTTAATCTGCATCTTTTGCCCCAGTAATCAATTTTCTTTTTATGTAGCTATCTATTTGCTGTTAAGTTCACTAATGTTTCCTCGGATCAGTTGTCTTCCTGTTGTATTATTGTTGCATTTATTTTCAACCAATAAAAAATTCTTTGCAACTTTTGGAATATTCTTCCCAAGCTGAATCTTTTGCCTCCATTACCTACTCTTTGCGTCTTTATATCATCAAATTTACTGAGTTCTCCCCTGGTTCATTGTTTTTCTGTGGAATTATTATTCTCCACTACCATCTGAATCAATGCAACAAGTGTCATTGTCACTGTGTCATGAAATTTGCAGGCAATCACGAACTGAACGCTGGCTGTTCCGTTTACGGAATTATCGACGGGAAGTTTGATAATGGATATTTGGTGACCATGAGGGTGGGTTCGGAAGAG